TGACCATAAAAAAAAAAAAAGAAAAAAATAAAGGAAACATTTAAAAAAAATAAAAATACCACATGTTGTTTATCCATTCTTCAGTTGATGGGCATTTAGGTTTTTCCAAGATTTAGCTATGAAAAATTGCACTGCTATAAACATGGGCACACATGTTTCTCAGTGGTGTGATGTTTTCAGTTTTGGAAAAAATATCCAGGAGGGGAATAGCTGTGTTGAATGGGACCTCTAATCCTAGATTTTTTTTTTAATTTTTTATTTATTTATTTATTTATGTGTGTGTGTGTGTGTGTGTGTGTGTGTGGCCAGCTCAGCCCACCAGGGGGCGCGGCTGGCTGGCATGTGGTGCTGGGGGATTGAACCGTGGTCCCTTTGCTTTGCTAAGCTTATTCAAATAGGTGCTTTAGACCACTGAGCCATCTCACCAGCCCCTAATCCTAGATTTTGAGGACTTTTCCCACTGATTTCCATAGTAGTTGTGCTAGTCTGCGCTCCCACCAGGATGAGATGAAATTTCAGTGTTCTTTTGATTTGCATTTCTTGTGTGACCAATGATGTTGAACATTTTTTCATAGATTTATTTGCCTTGTATATTTCTTTATCTGAGAAGTGTGTATTCATCTCAGGTGCCCATTTTTTAAATTGGGTCTTTGAATTTCGGGGTACTTGTTTTTTTACCCTGACTTTTTTTTTTTTTCCTTTTGTGGTACTGGGGATTGAACTCAGGACCTTGTGCTTGCCAGGCAGGTGCTTATGCCATTGAGCTATATCCCCAGCCCAAAGTAATTATTCTTTTCAGTACTGAGGATTGAACTCAGAACCTTGCACTTGACTGGCAGTGCTTATGCCACTGAGCTATCTCATACCCAGCCCGTGGGGGACTTGTTTTTTTAATTCTTCATGTGTTCTAGATAGAAGTCCTTCATCTAAGGAGCAGTCAGTTTTTTTTTTTTCCCAGTTGATGAGTTTTCATTTTACTCTGTTAGTGATTTCTTTTGACATGCAGAAACTTTTCAAAAAAGTTGATCCCAGTTGTTGATTCTTTGAAGTATTTCCCATGTAGTTTGTTTTTTGTTCCTGAAGTGTCTTTCTACCCATACATATTTAAGATTTGTACCTACCTTCTCCAGTAGATTTAGTATTTCTGTTTTATAGCTACCATGATTTTTCCTTCATATAATTTTATAATGCAATCATACAAATTGAAAGACTAGTATAATTAACATGGTTGTTTCAATTTTATCATATTTACTTTATTCCTCTATCTTCCTATAGTTTTCTTTCTTTCTTTTTTTTTTTTTTTTTTTTTTTGAGACACCAGGGATTGAACTAAGGCCCTTGCACTTGCCAGGGAAGCGCTTATTCCACTGAGCCATCTCTCCAGCCCCAGTATTTCTGTTTTAGTACTTAAATCTTTGATCCATTTTGACTGTAGTTTAATGCATGGTGATAGACATGGGTCTAGTTTTAGCTTTTGACATGTGGATCTGTCTCGGTTACTCTTTTGTCATTGCTGGGACAAATATCTAACACACAAAATGAAGGAAGGAAAGGTTTTTTAAGCTCACAGTTACTGGAGGTTTCATTGCATACTTAGCTGGCTCCCAGGCAAAGTAGCACATGTCAGAAAGAAACCTTCCATTGTGGAGGCAAAGATCACAGAGCAAAGGGAATGGCCGTAGCTCAGGGAACTAACTAGCCTCTCTTCTCTCCTTACATTGTAATCAAATTACCTGCCCCAGGGCAGGTGCAGCATCCACATCCACAATAATCACAAACTCCAGAAGCTGTCCCATGACTGCATGAGGCTTTGGCAGGACACCTTTACACAAACAGCAGGAACATTTTCTAAGTGAATGTTTTTTCACCATAACTGATGTTATTTTAAGTTGCCATACTGTCCCCTCAATACTCTTAAGGACAGGGCCTACTTGATATGGTTCTTTTTTTTTAATTTTAATTTTTTAAAATTTATGTATTTGGTACAGGGTCTCAGTACAAAGCTGAGACTTGTAGTGTCCCTCCCATTTTTAGCCTCCCCAGTGCTGGGATTATAGTCATGTGCCAACACACTGGGTCTCTGTGGCCTGCACAGTGTGCCCGGGGGTGTGGTTGGGGAAGCATGCAGTCCAAGGGATCGAATCCTGATCCCTGAGCTTGCCTAGCAGGCACTCAGTCCTTAGTTGGTTAAGCTATCTTCACAGGCCCATCACTATAGCTTCTAAAGGCATTGACGTTTACCTTCCCCATTTCAATAGATAACCTGTGCACACAGGCTAGAAGACTACGCAGTTCAGATTTCTAAGGACAACTCTCCGTGAATGGACATGAAACAAAATGTGTTTTTTTTTCCAGAGGTATATAAATCAGCTGAATCATGCATCAATATTCAATTTACATGTGCAGCCACTGACGATTGTTTTATTTCTTGAGATCCATTGGTGTCATTTTCGATTAATATGAAAGTGAAATTCGCATGCTTTCAAGTATGTTTTGCAAAGTATCTATCATATTGCTCAGAATGTCCTGAAAGTTTGTAGTCTTTTATTGTACTTTACACCTACAAATTTTAAAAACCTTAGATATGATTTATGAGTGACTCTGTATTACTTTTAATTTTTTTTTTTTTAAGGTACTGGGGATTGAACTCAGGCCCTTGCACTTGCCAGGAAATTTAATTTTTTTTAAAATGTATATAGTACAAGGTGTATAGGGTCTCACTACACAGATAGGACTCCTGGTGATTCTCCTGTTTTCAGCTTTCCAAGTACTGGGATTAGAGGCATGCACCATCATGTCCAGTTTTAGTCACTGTCTCAGCATGCCCAGGGGTGTGGCCTGCATAGTTTGTGGTGCCCAGGATCAAACCCTGGTCCCTGCATCTGCCTAAGCAGGCACTTTAGTCTGCTGAGCTATCTGGCTGACCCTTTAATTTTTTTCTTTGTGTGGGAGCTTGTAAATGAATCTCACTTCATAATCTTTTTTTTTTTTTCCAGTATTTTAAGGAAGGGTCTATGGGGTGTTCAGGATCTTACTACTAGATTGGACTTATAGTGATCTGCCTGTTTACAGCCTCCTAAGAGCTGGGATTACAGGTGCATGCCACCATGCCCAGTCTCAATTGCCTTCTCAGTGTGCCCTGGGTGTGGGGCCAGCAGGGCAGGCCCGGAGACCCAACTCCCCTGCACCTCTTTAATCCACTGCTTCATAATTTTGATTGTCCTCTTTTCATAGACAGGCTGGACATTGAACTTATAGCAGTCCTGACTGTCATGACAATCTGGCTTTATCAGTCTCCCAAGAGCTGGGAGAACAGGCATGTGCCATCTCACTGGGCTGAAACTTTCCTAATGTATTTAGTGACAAGTTAATTTGCAGTGTCTTGGTTTTCATTGCATTCATATATTTCATTTATATTTCTTCCCACATTATGCTCACTTATTCCACTCTAGAATTCCTTCCTCCTCTCCTCTCCTCTCCTCTCCTCTCCTCTCCTCTCCTCTCCTCTCCTCTCTTTTTCTCTCCTCTCCTGTTATCTGTCTCTTTCTTTCTTTCTTTCTTTCTTTCTTTCTTTCTTTCTTTCTTTCTTTCTTTCTTTCTTTCTTTCTATTTAGTGCAGGGTCCCACTATGTAGATTGGACTCCTAGTGATCTGCCAGTGTTCATCCTCCCAAGAGCTGGGATTACAGGCATATGCCACCATGTCCAGTCTCAATCACTGTTTCTCATGTCTGGGGTGGTGGTGGTGGGGTGGTGGTGGCACAGCATGCTGGGGATCGAACCTCTGACCCCTGTGTCTGCCTGTGCAGGCGCTTTAATCCACTGAGTTATTTGGCCGGCCCTAGAATTTCTCATATTCAAGTGCATGGACATAATTTGTTGTCCCTGGCCTATAAGTTATAGGCCACCACTCTTCACATGTTTTCATGAACTATAGACTGGTTAAATAAGTAAATTCCCATGGATTTTAATTATCCATAACCTTTATTTTGCATTTAATTAAGTATTTTTCTATCAAATTAGATTCAAAATTCTAAATGCTAGAAGCAAGATATACTCAATGCTATAAATATCTAGATGTGAAAACAGATAAAGCTTGGTCCTATATTGAACTTGAGGTGAAAGAGGCAAGGCTGGTCTCAAAATGGAGGGCCATGATCCAAAGGAACAAGAGCAGTTGAGGAAGCTGTTTATTGGTGGTCTGAGCTTTGAAACTACCAATGGGAAAAAAAAAGAAAAAGAAACTACCAATGATAGTTTAAGAGAATACTTTGAGACATGGGGCACACTCACGGATTATGTGGTAATGAGGGATCTACAATCAAAATGCTCCAAGGGCTTCGGTTTTGTGACTTACTCTTGTGTTGAAGAGGTGAATGTAACAGTGTATTTGACCACACAAAGTTGATGGATGTGTAGTGGAACCAAAGAGCTGTTTTTAGACAGGATTCAGTAAAGCCTAGTGCCCATCTAATAGTGAAGAAGAAAATTTTTGTTGTTGGTATTAAAAAAGATACAGCAGAATATAATTTGAGAGACTACCTTGAAAAATATGGCAAGATTGAAACCATAGAAGTTATGGATGACAGGCAGAGTGGGAAAAAGAGGTTTTGTTTTTGTAACTTTTGATAATCATGACACAGTTGATAAAATTGTTGTTCATAAATACACTATTAATGGGTATACTTGTGAAGTGAGAAAGGCCCTACATAAAAAAGAGATGCAGTCTGCTGGATCACAAAGAGGCTGTGGAGGTGGATCTGGCAACTTTATGGGTTCGGGAGGAAACTTTGGAGGTGGTGGAGGGAATTTTAAGTTTTGGTGGAAGAGGAGGCTGTGGTGGTGGAGAAGTTGGCAGCAGAGGTAGTTATGAATGAAGTGATGGTGATATAATGGATTTAGAGGCAATGGTGGAAAGTATGGTGGTGGTACTAGTTACAGTAGTAGAGGATGGTATGGTCATGATGGTCCAGCATAGAAAACCAACGTGTGGATTCAGTGATGGTGGTGGAGGAGGTTGTAATGGTTACAACAAAGGAGGAAATTTTGGTGGTGGTAACTGTAGGAGTCCTCTCCAGGTTCTGTCTCGGTCCAAGAAGTCAATATTTGTAATCTCAAAGATAGGCTATTGGAATCCCACCAAGTTAATTCCAATCTACCACTCGCAGTGCAACCCACAGCAAAAGTAAAGACACTAAATTCTATTTATAATTATTGGGGAGCCAAGGGGCCCTAAGTCCAGCCACAAAGATGGGCTTTCTGGAATGAAAAGACTGACCCAGGGCTGCACCCAGGTTTTATTCAGTGGAGGAGTGGCTTGAGGAGGAATGACTGAGAATTGTGGGAATTAGGTGAGTATTGTGAGCTGATCTAGGTAGGTGGCCTACATTTACTTTTGTCATATGCTGAGAGTATATGCAGAGAAAGTAATTTGCATTATGTTATTCAGATAGTATCTAATGTTTCGGGGGTCTGGTGCTTTAGCTCTGACGTAGTATTTCAAGCCCCAGGAACTCATAGCCTCCATCTCAAGGCTGGATCCCAGCTGGCATGCAGAGCATTGGCTCTTGGTTCTGTCTCGACTTGGCTCACTTTAAAGAGCAGCACGTGTAGGTTGCCAGGGAAACATACACGCCACCTTCAAAGACTGTCACCAGCACCTCAGCTAAACCAATATACATTGCTTAAGGCCAACTGAAAGATAAAGATGAGGGGCCGGGGAGATGGCTCGGTAGGGCCTGAGTTCAATCCCTGGTTCTGCCAAAAAAACCCCCCAAACCCAAAAGGATAAAGAGAAGTCCTAGCCAGCTCTGTACATATCAATACAAGGAAATAGGGTCAGGCTCAGCCAAAATGGAGACAGTCACTTTTCTTTCAAGGAGAGCTGCTCAGGTGGTCCTCTACAGGTAACTATGGTGATGGTGGGAATTACAATGATTTGGAAATTCTAGTGTACAACAACAGTCAAATTATGGACCCACAAAGTGGGGCAGTTTTGGTGAAAGAAGCTCTGGCAGTCCCTGTGGTGGTGGTTATGGATCTGGTGGTAGAAGTGGTGGATATGGTAGCAGGTTTTATTTTTTATTTTATTTTATTTTTTTTTGCGGAACCGGGGATTGAATTCAGGCCCTTGCGCTAGCCAGGGAAGCGCTTATTCCACTGAGCCATCTCCCCGGCCCAAGTAGCAGGTTTTAGAATACAACAGAAAAGGGCTACAGTTCTTAGCAGGAGAGAGAGTGAGGAGTTTTCAGGAAAGCTGCAGGTTTCTTTTATTTATTTTTTTTTTTTTTATTTATTTGAGAGAGGGGGAGAGAGAGAGAG